ACTAATTGGCTTACGATCAGAGCGGGACAGTGGGACTCGGAAGGGGGGGAGGTGTGTCCGTGGTAAGCGAATCCGAGGAGGCAGGGATGAGGACAGACTGAGTGATCCGAGCAGGGAGAGCGAGCAGGCAGGTGGCAGACACAAACACCGGATCGTAACCTACACAGCAAATCCAGCATGTCCAAATTAACACTGTCGGATTTGATTTCAACACTATTAAAGTGTCTATATGGGTCCACACCAGAGAGTGTTAATTTAACTCTTTTTGGAGAGTTGGTACGTTAACTCTGATTTAGTGTTAAACACCAAATCTGTCTGGAGTTGATAATTTAACACTTGGTGTTAAGAGTTTATATATTAACTCTCAAAGAGTATTTTAGTTTAACTACGTAAGAGTTATCTTCTAATTCATTCTAAAAAGCGGGAATTTTACTGTTCTGAACTTCTAGAAATTTCTTTTGGAAATAAACATTTACTAAAAAGATGCAATGGTTTTTGAAAAACATTTATTCTGAACTGTGCACCACAATTTCAAAACATTTTCTGAAAGATGTAACAGTTACATGTTCTCACTTTCATTAGAATTTTGTTTATCAAAAGGTCTGACATGGTAAATGCAAATAACAGCATTCTCATCACTTATTTCTTCAATACAATATGCATGTCCTTCATTCATCCCTTTGTGGAACTTCAACGCACTTCTGCTCTCCCCCATATTCCATCTTCACAAGCATATCCTGTGCGGAGATTCGAATAAAAATTAGTTGACACTAATTAATGGCACAAATAATCCAGTAAACAATTGCAGCACAGTAAAAAAAAAAGGAATCCTCTTTGAGCCATTACTTGTGTAAAGTATTTTCCCAAAAGACAAAGACACAGGCAACAGGTAATACTGAACTAAATGTAAAACCTCAACCTTTTTCATTTTTACCTAAACCGTGTGCACAAAACTCTGGAGGGATCTATGCTAACGTAGAATCCAGTCAGGACGTCTGCTACTGCTGTTTGCTCGTTTTTTTTATGGGCGATCGTTTTCAGGCTTCAAGTAGCACCATTATACCAACATTTCACATTCTACACATTGTTTTAGGTGTATTTGACCAAAAGTTTGACTGAAAATTCACATGCAAGCTTTTTTTCAAGGCTGTGGTATTTGCCCGCAAACAATACCTTTCAGCTAGCTAAAACAGAATATTATGCTATCAGCGAGCAACATGGCTAATGCCTTTCACACAGCTTTGTCTCAACTCCAAAGAGCCACAGAAGTAAAAGCTCATAATAATAATTGAAACAATCTTTGAAAAAATGACTTACCAAGCATGGCAAACAACTCAAATATGTAGAGCAAAATGTTCTGAAACGGCTTCACTTCAGCTTCGATTGGAGCCGTGCTGGGGGCGGAGTCTGTGAATTTACTCTGTTGGTGTCATAGCCCCTTAGGAGTTCAGAGTTAAGAGGTCAAGAGTTAATGTTTCCATTGTAACACCTCCAGATTTGACAGAGAAACACTCATTTTTAACACTCGATTTTAACTACTATCATTTTACACCTCAGAGTTACATTAAAAGAATGTGACTCTGCTTAGAGTAAAATTAACTCTACTTTTGCAAGAGACTATTAACACCAAAAAATTTAACACTTTTGAATTTGCTGTGTAGGCACACGAAGGCAGAATTAGCGTAGTTCAAGTGACACATATGTACAAAGCTTTTGCGGGAAGCCTAGTTACCACTGAGGGGTGACTAACAGACTGGTGTGGAGCATCCGTCAGCGCAGGGTTACAGAGTCCTCCAGGTAATTGCCCAGAATGGAAAGCAGGTGTGCAGGTGATGGCCCAGCTCGGGGGTGTGGCCACCAGGGCATCCCACACACTCCTCAGACATAGGGCCACGGACCATGGCACTATGACTTGATGCCCCACACATGGATCCTAGAATGCCTACAACTGTACAAGATCAACTATGAGCTTCCATCAGAAATTCAGTGGGGATGTGAGACAATCTGAGACTATTCAGCACATAACAGCAGGGTACAAGATGCTAGCAGGCAACATCTGTATGGCCTGTAAGTCCTGAGGTCAAAATAGGACACGCCCCCTATGGTGGTTGAGAATGACTGAACTTAGATCTTGTCTGTCTGTATGTTAGACTTCCACATACAGAAGGACAAACAGGCTAACCAACCAGACACAGTCGTGGTGGACAAGCAGAGGCAGAGCTTCGTACTGATAGATGTAGCTATATGAGCAAAAGCACCATCAGGTAAAAGGAACAAGAGAAGCTCGAAGTACAAACGGTGAGAGACGAGATCAGGATGATGCGGCGAATGAAGGTAACAGTTGTCCCTGTGGTAACCGGAGCGTGTGGGGCACTGACCCCCAAGCTGAGCGAGTAGCTTTAGCAGATCCCAGGAATGAAACCCAAGATCTCTGTCCAGAACAGCAAAGATCCTGCGCAGCACCTCCGAGCTCCTGTTAGAGGACCTGAGCTTGGAGGATAAAGACCTGTAAGCACACGGGCACGTGGGGAAATTTTAAATATGATTGTGTGATCAAAAAATAAAAGAAGCACTTTGAAAACACATCAGACTTCAATGGGAAATAAAAATCCTGCTGGGTACATATTCTGATGTGGATGTGTGTGGAATGATTTGATGTAACGACACCCTGAAAATTTAAAGTGAAAAAAGGACCGCGAGGACCGTAAACGTGCTTCAATGCTGTGTGTGTCACGAGTGACCGTTAGAGTGGCTTTGCTTCGTTTTTTTTAACTGCCAGATTTTGCTACTTGGTGTCAGACAGCTCTCACACCAAACCTAAATGTGAGTGCATGAATGCACTTTCACCTGTTAGAGCTGACGGGAACAAGAACTGAGAGGTGAAATCAAGCTACAGGAACATATTTTAAGAATTTACAATGAAGTCCTGTGATTTTGTTCGTTTCTCCACAGGCCCTGTTTTCTTTCTGTCTATTTTATTTCTGATGACGAGTTAATGGTTTTATGGTTTTCACAGTGCAGTGTGAAGCCAGCGTTTTTTTTAATTTGAAATATTTTAACTTGCAGAAAAAACATCTTTGTCTTTATTTGCATTGCCTGGTGCAAGTTCCTGTCAGTGTGGCTCCTTTCCCCAATGCTCAGCGACATCTCGAGAAACTCGTGTCTCTGGACTCCAGCTGCAGCTGCTGCCTCGTTACACTCTGCTGCTGAGCTGTCCCTCTGACATACTAATGTCTGAACTTGTCCATCGTTTTCACTCCCAATGAAAATATTAACATCTTCAGCCTTCCTCCTCCTCTTCTCTCCAATGCATACCTCCAGCCTTCCAGGCTCTTTTCCACCTGCCTCAGTGGCAGCTGTTGCCGACTTGTTAACCCTGACTAAAACACAAGTTTGTTATGTAACATTTATGTCACATTACAAAATGCTTCGGGCCTTCCTGTCGTGGATACTGACGGTCAGGAGGCTGTAATTCTTTGGACTGTTCCGCTGTCCTATTATTAAAACCACTGTTGCAAGAAAACCATGTTACATGTAACCATGTCACTAGTTGGTCAATAGATGGTAAAGGTAGCCAAACGACTTCTTCTTTCTCTTTTCATAATGATAACAATCTAACTTTGATACAATATTTAAGAAACCCAAGTTTTCAGTGGTTTCTCAGGAGGAACTGTTCACTTTTTAAACAACAAAACTTTGTAGTTTCTTACTAAATTTAACAGACTGCACATACTTTAAAGATCATATTTAAATTATATCTTGTGATAAAATAATTTAATCCGATTTTGCGATCGTTTCGCTCTGAAAGGCTCGAGTGCTGACAGCATTTTAAGAAGTTAAATGTGATTAAAAGTGGGAGGGGGGAGGGCGTACACGTGAACACGAGCAACAGTCACAGGTTTCATCGTGCTACATTATGTTCTTCATTTCTAAATACAGTGTCTATCTAATGAATGACATGCGGTTACGCTGGTTACATGTCTGTGTAGCTACTAACAGCAACACTGCGCTCCTGGTGCAGTCTTGCAGTGACACATTTTATTTGTAACAACAGCTTCAATTTGATTACATGAACATTGGGCTGTTTGCTTAAGAGTCACTTCCTGATTACAAGAATCTGCACTGTGAGAAGTGGAAATAGCCAAATGCATGTGTTTCATTTGTCTAGGAGGAAATCCATATTTAGATTTTTTACAAAAAAGCTGATGTCTTTGTCGGAAACAATGTTTCTGCCGGGTTTGTGAAGTCAAACTAATTTCCACCGAATGTTTCAGAGTGAAAGAAAGAAGAAACTTTCTCTTCTTCAAAATGACTGAAAACATTAAGGAGATCATGTGACGATGACTGCTGCTCTTTTTTAAATAGACTATATATAACTGTGTGATTCATATCAGCTTGTCACGCCATGCAAAGTGTGCTGTGTAAGTTTAAGTAAAAGGTTTTATCAGCTCAGTACGACCGTCTCAGCACAAAGAAGGCTCTGCTTAGTTCCCTGCATTATTTCATATAAGAGCATGAAAAGCTGACTGTGTTTCATCCATTTTTACATCAGCTCCCCCCCCAGTGTGTGAGTCTCCCCGGAGAGTTTTCGACTCCCCTCCTTCCTCTTTTATCCCCTATTTTCTTGTGTATGTAAACAGAAGTAAAGCATTTTAGGGCTCCGAGGCAAAGCGTGGTGATCAAACACCATCCTCGATCAATGACTTTGAAGAGATCTAACGCCTCTTATAAATGTCGTTCACGCGAGATGAACTGCAGCAATGAAGAAATTCATTTCTGGAGCCAATGGCCGTGTGTTTTCTGTCTTTAGAAGGAGAGAAGAAGAAAAAAGAGAACAGAGTTTAACAAAGGAAAGACTGCCTCTGGTTTCTTGCACGTTGCAGTGATATGTTCTTCTTAGCTTTGACTGCACGGACGAGCCGTCGTGGGCCTGCAGGGGAGGAGTCAGTGAAAAAGACGAGGTGCTCTAAGAAGTTTCACAACTCTCTGTCTCGCGTCTCACAAGCAAAGTTGCTGAAGTTTAACAAGAATAAAACAGAAATTACTCGGGCCTGAAACTTTAACCTGGAGGCTTCGCCGTGCTCTCATCAGTCTCATCATCCATTTGTGTGCCTCGTGTTATTTGAGCCTAATATGTCAGACGCGACCCTAAAACTGAAATCTTGACCGTATTGGCAGCTATCAGCCTCCTTTTTCAAAGGTCAGAGCGATTTCACCCTTCATCAAATTCAAGTGAACATTAGACGAGCGAAGGCTTCCTGTTCTTAGTGGCGTAGTTGAAATGATGCTTCCTGTCAGCAGACGTTAAGGTAAAGGCAGTCTCTTCAGTGTGACGTCACTGCCACTTGCTCGACTCGAAACCAAAGGCGAGGTTTAGAGTTTGGGGAACAAGTCCAGGAAGCTGTGTCAACCGATAAGACAGAGAACTTATGTCGCTTTAACACAGACAGCTTTTTCTATGTTAGGTTAGAATTGAGGTAAGATTTGGAAATAGGTTTTGGCGTGCGACGACCTGCCGGCTGCTTTCACTGTACGGTGTGTGGCTGTACACACCCTGACTCCTGGACATGGCAGGTCTTTGGGGTCTGAAGATGCTGTTCTGGGCCGGGATCATCGGTTTGACCTACTGTAAGTGACCATCTGCAGTATTCTCGGTGCTGCTTTCTTTAAGGATTGTAGAAAGACTTTGAAGTTTCTCTCTGTGTCTGTAAACTGAGGAGAAATAACAGAAAAACGTCTGCAAATGCAAATCATGTAGGTGATGAAGTCTCCCCCCTAAACTCGCTGTGTTTGAAGTCGGATGTTGAGCTTGTGATCGTGTATGAGGATTATTATCCCTGTGTGAGATGGAGACGTGAATCTGTCAGCTGAAAAGCTTTTTTACTTTTTGAAAACTGTAAAACATCATCAAGCAAAATGTGACCTTTTAAATAAAAACCGAGGGCAGAGGCTACGCTGTAGCACGCTTTGGAGAGGCATCCGCGTTTGAGCTACTTCACGTTTCTTAAACTTTCCAACCCCAAGAACAGCAGACAGGAACTGCACACGCCTGTGATGTGAAAGCTTAAAAATGACAGGTTTCTGAGCCCTTTGGCAAAAGAACGAACACTCGTGTTCAATCAAAGGCGGCTGTTAATAGGAAGAAGACGCTCTTTAAAACATATGCTTTTATTTGGTGCTTTGGGAATTTTTGCAGTCGTGTTTCTGTTCTGCTTTGATACCGTGCACGTATGAATGTGTGATTGTGTACTGTATGTGTGTAACTGTGGGGGTGGGGGGGCTGTGTCTGTCTGAAAGCAGAGACATTTTCTGGGGTGTGTCCCTGCAAGCTGCTTCTTCACCTCGGTGACTGTGGGTGCTGTATGTGATAAACATTTCAGTGTGTGTGTGCGTGCACGTGTGTGTGCGTGCATGTGTGCGTGTGCACGTGTGCACGCTGAGTTACACTGACCTCACTGCCTGCATCATCACTCATAATTCATCTATAACTCAGCTGTTTTCAGCCAGTCTGTGCTGATGAGCTGAAATAAAATCTGTCATTTATCGTCTTTGCCCTCAGTCTGGCTCGTTCGTTTCTAACATACAGAATTTCTCAGGCAGTGTGAAGGTGTGTCATCATCCACCCAAAACATGATTGTTGTTTTCCTTTCAATCACATTAATCAATTAACTGATCAGCCGTTATTAAAAAAAATGAAATACATAAAAGTGTCCAAAACCAAAATGTCAAAATTTTCTGTTTAGTGATGTATCTCATTTTAATTATTGTACTATATACTCATCAAGCACTCATGTTGAAATATTATTATTCTAACTCACTGTTATTATTATTAAACTAACATTGTTTTACAGTTTAACAGATTTTTACATTAAATTGTATCAGTTCATCGTAACACTGTGAACTGTGTTTAAATATTTACTTTAACAAATGCTGATATACTTTTATTTAGTTACATGAACTTAATTACGTTTAAAGAATCTGAATTCACTTTAATAACATTTGATTTTATCCTTTATTATTTATCTTTAGCGAGCTATACGTGTAATTGTTACAGACAAAATGTTAGGAACGCTAAACAGCCACGTTTTTAATCAATAAAGTTAAATTTGATTGTGCCATTATTAATCTAATGTTTCTTTGAGATGAAAGTCCCTTAAAAAGTTCAACGACATCTCCCAAAAAGATGTCTCTCAGTGTATGATTGTATTTTAATATTAAACTCATTTAAAAATAGTTTAAAACTCGGCTCGACTTCTTCATCTTTTTCTATATTTTCCTGCTTTTTTCACTACTTTTAAAGAATTACTACACGCGTGTGTCAGCTCAGTAGTAAATACCAAAGTTCACGCGTCTTCTGCTTAAACTGGGCGAGAGAAGCTGGGCCCTGTTTAACAGGCCGCCTGCATTAGCAGCAGCAGTAGTGTGATCAAAAAGTTTGACCACTTCCGTGTGCCATTCTGAGTCGTCTTCATTTCCTGGCAGCGCAGCGCGGGCCGAGCAGGCCGAGGCACCGCGCAGCAAATGACTTGCGGAAAAAAAAGGGAAGCACAGGGTGTAAAATGAAGAAATGAGGTCAGAAATGTTAAGCATGACTTTAAAACGTTTCTGGGAGGAGGAGAGTGTCACAGAGCAGGACTCTGTGATGAACGCAAAACATGAGACGGAGGAAAAAACAGTAAAACAGAGAAAATCAATGAATTAGAGACAGAGCTGGTTACTGTGTCCGTGTCTTTACTGCATTCAGGGATAATCACATTATTGTATTTGTGATTGTCATAAAACTACAACACTGTCATGCAAATCACAAACCTACTCTCCTGAAAACATTTAAAACCAGTTTAAATAACGATTTTAAATAGTGAAGAAAAGGTTTTCTTTATGTTTATGTTCCTGGGCTTCAAACACATCATAACGACATAGTTATGATATAAATAAACCTTCACTAAACCTTCACTAAACCTGTTGCAGTCATCTCCAAACGAATAATCGATGAGCTGCGTTTGTGCGAGGCGCTGAAATGTCGCTGCAAACATGTTGCATCTCTGCACGACTGAGTGAAACAACAACGCGCCAAAACCACATCCTGAGTCTCATTGTTTGACTGTCCCCAATCACCCAGTCATTCAGTTCTCATTTCTATTGTTATAAAGAACAAATGGACAACATCAACAAACCCATTTAAAGTAAACTAACTCATGTACTTGTGAATATGATCCAAATGTGTTTATTTGTTTTTTATTCTTTTTTAATGTCGAAAATACAGATTTTAGGAGAAGAGAAATTGAAACAAAGAACAAAATAGAACTTCATACCTGACAAATATTATCTGAAACCGTATTTATTGAAACACTTTGGTTAAAAATGTATTTTTGGTTGTGTCTGGTTCAGTGACACGGCCAAACCGAAACCAGTGTTGTAAGTATGGGGCGGTTCTAGGTTGGAGTGCAGGCAGGAAGCTGCGGTTTGCTTTCTGATATAGCAACTGTGGCTCTTTGTCACAGTGTCATAGCAACCAGGTTACACAGCAGCGATACCTCATCCACACGATGCTGGGTAACAAAGTTCACCCTGCTGTGTTCAACAGATGTGTAAAAATATTTAGTAATCACTGGTTGTTTGTGTTTTGTTTTCTTTTTCCTGCAAATACAATAAATTATTTAATCACAATCAAACTGATTTACACTTTTTTTCTCTTTTAATTACAGCTCAAACCACAAGTGAGTACCATTATACTTTATCATGTTATTGAATCTCTATAGTTGTTCACTTCTCGTAGTCATCATGACAAATATTTGGGAATCACTCATTGTTTGTGTTTTTGTTTGTTTGTGTTTTCCTGCATACACAGTGAATGTTTTCATGACCAAAACACTAATTCTGACATTCTTGTCTCTAGTAATTCCAGATGACAACAAAGGTGAGTTCCAATATATTTATGATGTTATTCAGTTTATAACATTTACTTCTTATTATGTTGTTTTCAGACTTGTTTAATTCCAGTTGTCCCCCTGCTGTGCTTCCTGATGTAGCATGCATCTCCCTCAGCCTCATGTGTAAATGTACACAGTCCTCAAACACTTACTATGAAATGACAGAAATGTGTCTTCTTACTTAAACTGATGAACAGAAGCTTCGATCTGGGTCATCTGTGTCAGACAGAATTTAAACGCAAACACCAAAAACAAAAAACAGTTATGTTTTTGCAAAATGTGTAAAATGTAAAATTGTTCGTTGTCTTCATTTAATCATAGGTTTACTGTGAAAAAGGTGAAATCCTTGTTTTCATATAGCAGCTGTTTTGCATAGATAATTTTCCATGAATGGGTAATCACATATATGTGATCAAGTATTTTCCAAATCCTTTTTATCCTCTGTGAAGCTGAATGAAAGCAAATTAACATGCTGTATACCAGCGGTCTCCAGTCGCTCTGTGGTCCGGGTCGTTTGGTACCGGGCTGCGTGATTTGAGGCTCTTGGGCAGGCTCTGTTTGCTCATATTATAATGAACTATATTTATGTGTAATAATTCATAGCTTTGCACATAATGTATCTGTTCCATACTTTCTTCCATAAGTCCTTGTACGTTAAATTTGACTTTAGATTCCTTGTAATTTAATTTAGATGCATTTGAGTTCAAGTTCAGTGAGTCTGGACAAATCAGAGCAGCAGCTCTCTGTTGTTAGGATTTAGATCCAATTTGCATGAAAGTAACATGTAACATGAAGTCACTGATTATCCAACACAACAGTTAGTCTTTTATTGTCTATAAAAACTTATCATTGATCCATCTTACTCTTATCCTTAGATCATTTTGTTTGTGTTTTGTAAACAATAATTAGTATTAATAGGACTATATTTAATTTGCTAGCATAGGAAATGGGATAGCAGTGACAAGTAGCACAGCATCTTTCTAACAACATGAAACACGACTGTTAGAGTGAAAATGTTACAGTGAGAACATTTTACATTTGCTACAGTTACAGCTAACATCTTTACGTCATGCTGATTTCTTTTTCTTGGAATGAAAATTGTTTCAGCCTCCTCACCTCCACGCACGGCTACAAATGCTACAGTAGCCAATTCAACAGCCTCCTCACCTCACGCACGCACAGCTACAGTAGCCAATTCAACAGCCTCCTCACCTCCACGCACGGCTACAAATGCTACAGTAGCCAATTCAACAGCCTCCTCACCTCCACGCATTTCCACCAGTCCTACAGTAGCCACGTTGTCTGACTCCTCACCTTCATCCATGGCCCCAAATGCTACAGTAGTTAGTCCATCAGTGAATTCAACTGCCACGTCTGGTAATGTATTCAGAGTTTATAGTTTCATGGATTATTGGCACAGCTGTGTGATAAAATCCTACATTTGTAGTTTAGCATCGTGTCAGGTACAACCAGTCTGCTAGCTGTTAGGTATTTCTGCCTGAAGTTGACCTCCAGCCTGCTCTCACACAGCAACCATGGCTCCTACTGCAAGCACCTCAAATGAGACCTCACTCACATCCACTCCACCCAGCAACTCATCTGACTCTCAGGCCTCACCTACAGGCACCACAGTGACAGCTACCACTGAAGGTTGGCCGTTTCTTTATTATACAGGCCTGTGATGACATTGATGTGAATATAAGCAAAGAACACGGTGCTGCTGAGTTACAAGTACCTGTAAGGTGCTCTGAGCTGTTGTACATTCATGCTGCATAATCACAAACTAATAATTTTGTTCTTTTCTGATCTCATTTGAATGCATCGTTTCAGCCACCGAGACGACTCCTGAGCCTCCAAAGTGTGAGTGTCAGTTTAAAGATAATATGTCGTCTGCTTTCAAACACTAGTGATGCTGTCGAGCGTTTCTTACTTAGTGAAAGTTTATTTTTCTATCGAGTGTAAAGATTGTGTTTTAGTTTTAGCCAACGCTGGACTGTGGTCAACATCTGCATGAACAAACTGACTGAGATGAAACATTTCA